TAGCCTTTTTATGTTGAGAATAGAAGATCTTTCTGATTCCTGAGAAACTATTCAGTTAATAAGGTCTATTTTTCGTTGTTTTTCCTATGCCTAATCCTTTGTGGGCTTAACTGTACACTTTTTAGCCATCTTTTCTCTACCCCTTGATATGATGGAGAATTGCTGGAATAAATATAGTTGGATATTATAGGAAGAAGGAATGGAGAATGTATTGAGTTCCTAAGTTCTAGAATTAAGCATGTTTATTTGGGCACAATAAAGAAACATGAAATAATATAATTAATGGCAAATACATTTATTATTTAATATATAACTTTCTTAAATGATTATAGACTCAGGCAAATATATTGAATGTTAGTTTCACTTTACAGAATCTTTAAAATTGACATACCTAGGATTCTTTTTTCTTCACTGGCAGGAATAAAAATGTTAGTTTATTTTCATATATTAGAAATACATTGTTTATTGACAGTTTTATTTTGGGCTCTTCTTTCAAAATTTGCTTAGGCCAAATTAGATCTTTTTTAAAATTTTTTTTAATTTTTTTTTTCAAATTAGATCTTGTTAGCCATCAGTTAGACACCAAGTAATTGCTTGATTGAAAATAGTGTATTTAAGGATTTGAGATTGACTTTTGAATAATTCACATCACATGCTAAAGTCAGGCACAGCTCATTAATAAGCAGACTTGCTAAGGCATCCTTAAAGTTTCAAGGAGCATTCAGATGTTTCAAATTTTAGTAAAATTAGTTTTAATTTTCCTTATGACAGCAGATGTGTGGCAAACAGCCAAGATTTGAGCTTAAAACAAATGCGTAGAGATATTGGGTAGAATGTTCTGCTCCAGTGATGCAGTGTGACTTATAAGATGGTGGTGAGCAAAATCAGTATTCATACATGTGTTTGAGTCATTTGCTGACGTTCTTGTTTGTGCTTCATAACACTATATATTTAGTAACATCTAGACAGTTTGTAGTGAGGATATAAGTACTTATCTTAGAGAAACTAGTTTTATGTGATTTGATTGAATAAACATTGTAGAAAGAAGAGGAGTATTTGAAACTTTTGACACTGTTTCAGTTGTTCAGATACTCAGTGTTGAAAACTTACTTCTCCACCCATTTCCCCTTCCCTTTGTTCTGCTCTGCTGTTTCTAAAGCAAAATTCAAAGAAATTTTTTATATATACATTCTGTAGATAAAGATGCTCAGAATTTTCCTACCCTTGTAGCAGTAATAATAATCATAATTACTTCACTCATTAATGTCTAATAGTTATTAATGAAGTAGAACTATTTGCAGTAAGCTTATCTATAATTACTCAGCACACCATTATAACCTACTTAGGATTTGGTTTGTAGTTAAAGATTTAGATTTCTGTAGATGCTTTAGTAACTATACTATAATGCACTGTATACAGTGATTTTTCCCCCCCAGTGGTCCTTAATGAAAAAATGATTACCAAAAATATAAA